CTTTAAATAAATTTGTCAATTATAGTACTTAGTTGATTAACAACGATATGTTTGCTTCTCTTTTAAATTTTTGTTTTTTCGTTTCAATGTTTTTATTTCAGCTTTTTTTTAGTTTTGTTTTTCTTTTTCCGTTTTTGTCTTTTTTCATATTTTTTAGTTTTTGTCGTGTCTGGCATAGCTCCTTAAATACTGGTAGCTGAGCACCACTGTACTCGTACTCCCAAGCACATTAAGTTCTATTAAATACTAAAAAAAAAAATACTAAGTCGAAAAACCAATCAAATGCATTCATTTCTTTTCTTTTTTGTTTTTAGCTCTAATTGCATCTAGTTCGCTGTGTGTGTGTGTGTACTTGTCTCTGTATGTGATTGTGTGTGGGTGTGTGTGGATGTTTGTGTGTGTGTGTGTGTGTGTATGTTGACTTTTATTGTGCAGTACTCTAGACTACATATGTTTAACTGGAATCTTGGAAACACTTGAAACATTCGTGAATACATTTCTATGCATTTGCATTTGATTTGAGCGAATACATTCGAGTGCCTTAAACGGAATGAATATATTCTATGAATATATATATTCTATGAATGCTAAAATCGTTGGCATTTCAAGTCAAACTAACTTGGAAATCAATCATGTCTCACTGACTCTAGCGTGTTTATACATATGTAAGTACTACGAGCTAGTAGAGAGACTAAGTGATTTGCAGTGGAGTAGATTAGATAGTTAGTATTTGTAACTGTTGTATGGATTGCATGATATGATATGCTACGATATCATAAGCACATAAGAGTAGTATATGTATATACTACATAAGTATGCACATATAGATAGATAGGAGCCAAAGCTTGAGCTCAAGTAAGTTACGTAAAATTCGTATAATATATATACATGAATGCGTATTTGTGTCCGTGTGTGTGTCTATCTGTGTGTGTGCGTGTGTCTGTTGTAAGTTTGAGCGCTGTTGACATGTTAAGTATTAACTAAGGAGTTTAAGATAGTCTACAACAAATTGTACATGAATTCAACTGACGATGGCTAAGAATACGAGGAGAGTTTCTCTGCACACATACAAAAACCAATTACAATTACTATTACGAGTACGATTAGTATTACGATTACGATTACAATTAGAATTACATATTTACAGGTCGGATTGCAACTGTTGTACAGTTTTCAAAAATAAAATACAAACGATTAATTTTCTTCTTTTATTTTCATATATTCTTTTCTTTTTCGTATTTTCTTTGGGAGGTTTGTTTTGCTGCTTCTTTGGTTTTTGCTGTGAGTATTTTCTTTTTAAAGTTTGTGTTTTTTTTTATAATCTTAGATGAGCTATGTATATCTGCTGTTAATTTACAATGTGATATTGCAATGATGTGGTCTATATTCTTTGCTCTTTATCGGGGACTTGCGTTAAATGTATTTACAATATTGAATTGTTTACAATTTGTTTCAATTTAATTAAATTAAATGTTTGTGTTTTTCCTAATTTTGTTTTGTTTTTTTTTAACTTATTTAAACATATAATAACATTTTCGTTTTTTTTTTTTTCTGAACACATTTATTCCAAACTTGCAAGTTATAATTTCTTTCTATTTCGGGTTTATTGTTGTTCTTCAGTATTTGCTTCCTTTTCTATCTTCTGTTCCAGAACTGCTTCTTGAAAACTCTGCCCTGAAAATAATAATTTGCTTTGCATCTCTGGGTATTCCTGCTCAGATCCTTACTTCATTATACTTTATATTCATTTTCCTAGTTTAATTCTAAAAAAAAAAACAACCTTATTTTACACACATTTGTTTTTTTTGTTTTTTTTTTTTTTTTAGTTTTTTACTTTTTCCTAATGCTAAAATCCTTCACGCTAAACCATAAAACTTAAATTACATAAGCGAATTCTTTCCTTTTTATAAATAATAAAAATTGTTTCTAGTTTTTTATTCATTTACCATTGTTGTTGTTGGTGTTTTGCCTTAAAATGTCAGGGGGTTGGTTTCTATTTCTATTTTAGATACAGGGTGTTTATTCTTTCTATTTGGTTTCTGTTTTTCATTGTGGTATATCTAGATACAATAAAGTATACATATATAATATAATATACATCATATGACTGTTTGCAATTGTTGATAATTTCTTGTTGAACTTGTTAATTTTGTTTATATTTGCTTGATCCGTTTATGCTTTGCGTACAAAATACCTAATTTGCTGTGTTGTGGATAGGTTGAAAGTGTTTCTTTGAGTGTATTTACAGCAGAGTCTTAGGCACGCTACAGTGCAGGCTGGCATTGTGTTGATATGGTTAACTATTTTGCTTGGTTTTGCTTAGCTACAAATTGAAAAGTTCTATATACATATCTGGCCTGATATGAATGCTCGGTGTTTTGGGCTTGATTTGTTTTTGTTTTCATCTTCAATTGAACTTCAGGCTGACGTGTTCTGTTTGCAGCGAGCTTGCACTGTAGCATCACTAAATTGTGTCTAGTCATAATATATATTTTGTTTTAATTTTTTAAATTTTATTTATTTATTT